ACCGCTGGGGTTGCATCCCTACTTTTGGAGGAGGAAAAAAAAAAAGCCCACGGTTTGCAAAAGAGATCGCCGGACTTCCTGCGCTTTATTAAAAGCAACCGTCTCCGAACCAGAGTCATTCATGTAGTCGAAACTAATCTGTCTCTCTGTCTCTGTCTCTCTCTCTCTCTCACACACACACACACACACATACGCACACACACGCACACGTACACACTCACACACACACACACACACACACACACACACAAGAGATCGCCGGACACACACACACACACAAGTGCAATGGCCAATCTGTCCTGCCAGGAAAAGATCCGGGCTGCCCCCTTCGGCCAACAACATGAACCAGCCCAACGCCGAAGAAACGAGCTCCCGCTTCCTTTCCCCAGCTTCGGATCATGCCCAACGACCGGAGGGGTTCCACCAGAAAACTCCCCAGTTGCGATCCCGAGCCTTTGCTTGCCGAAGCGCCCGTCAGCCTAGGCGACGGCTTGCCCTCCCTTCCCCCCGGATCGATCTCTCCCCCTCCGCCGGACGCGGCGCCGACGCCGACGCCAACCCGGACACCGCGCGCAGGACTTTGTCAAGTGCAAGCAAGCACCCCCTCCGGGATCCGTCAAAATCTTGGCGTTTCCAAGCGCCGAGAAGCAGCCAGGAGAGCTGCAAGCAGCGCCGACGCTTTCCTTCTTAAAAACGCCGAACTTTGGTTGCTTTTCAGCAGCGTTGATCAATTAAGCAGAACGCAAATACCATAATTTCTTCATATTAATTTCCTAGCGGAGAGAGACTTGTGTGTGTTGCACGCGCACACACATAAAATATGAGCAGGAGATCGGAAATAAAAGAGGCAAGGAAGGTAGATCCACTGGGAGTCTGAAGACACCGGATTCCACCTGGCATCATGCATCGGAAAGGCGCCCTTTTTCATATTTAAACCACGCGGAATATGTACATTTTTGATTCCTACTTACGCTTTCAGGGGGTTGTGAATGACAGTCGCCATTTTGCTACAATGTAACAGAATATTGTGTCTCGGAGTTCTAAAGGTTCGCTCAGGGGAAGCGGACGACCAATCGGGAGAGAGGATACCGGCCCGCCGTCCAATCAAAATCCGCAGGAGGAGCCAAGGTTCTGCTAGTTATTAGGGGAGCTGTCAAAGCCCAGAGGTCACTCCCTTTCTGTGCAACTGTTAAGAGAGCAGGTCTTAAAGGGGCAGCTACACGATATAGGGGCAATCGGCGCTCTGAATTAGGGAAAAGGAGTTAATGAGAAGTTAAAAGACTTTTTAGAGTAGTTCGGGTCCACTTTCTCCTTCGTTCGAAGGAAGCAAAGCGACCTACGGTACGTACCGTAAAACGCACTCGGTTCATTGTCTGTTTCGATCGCTCTAGCTCTTTTCGTGGTCCCGGAATGGACAAAACCCTCAGGCTTTGCCCTATGCAAGGCTTGGGTTCATGGCATTTCATTAGAAAGAAAGAAATAACTAACTAAATGAGATGATTTCTCGTTCTTTTAAGGACTGCCTCCGTTTTATTTTCCTCCACCACCCGTGGATCCGCAGCCACTTTCCCCTTTCGGTTTCTTGGAACGGCTGGTAATCGTAGTGACTTCAGGGCAACCGGAGCACCCTTCCCCCTCCGCGAGGAATTTCTCTCCCTGTCAGTCTTCCAGCTTCTGCAAGCCAGTGCACTCGTTACATAATGCACGGTGGCCAAAAAACGACCGGCTGTCTGTTTCACTCAAAGCAAGTTTTTGGAAGAGATCGTCTGGTTTAGCGTGTCGAGACCTGACCTCTGCCATCTCTAGACATGAGAAAGGGAAAGGGAAGGACGGTTGCCTACACTTCATTTTTCAAAAACACCTCGAAGTCTTCCTCGGTCGCCAAGGAACTCGTTAGAGACAGGGCTGTTCTCACGGCAAGGAAAAGGAGCGGAGACGTAGCCCCATTGCTGGGAAAGGCACCAAACTCTAAGACGTCTGACTTTACCTGTAGCTAATTGTGTGAGTCGTGTCTACTGCGGCTACATACACACACCTACGTGATTTTTTAATTTTTTTTTTTTTAGACAGAGCACACCTACGCTGCAATCCTGTGCGCCACTTACTTGGGAGTAAGTCCCGTTAAATTCCGTGAGACTAACATCTGAGTAGACGACAGGGGATCACACTGCTGGATCGCAATCCCTGTGCACGCGTGCCTGGCACTAAGCCTGACGGAGCAGAAGGGGACGTCCTTCTGGTGGGACGGGAGGGGCAGGAGCGCCCATCGAGGGGCGACAGCCAGAGTGGAGTGAGGTGGCTCCCTCAGGTAATGCACGCAGGCAGGGGTGAGAGCCTCCCTTCTACCTGAGCCTTCCAGGCTTCCTTCTCTGTAGCAAGACAAAAATATACCTGGCACGCAGCCTCCCTTGTACTCCTAGACTGCTCTGCAGTCGTCAGATCCAGGGAGGGCCCTGTGGGTGGAAAAGGGGGGGGTGCTTGTCCATTGAGCTCAGAGAGCAGATTGCTCTTGGTCTGTCCCGCCCCCTTAGCCTACTTCTGGCAGTCATGCTCTTTTCAATGAGTGTGCAAGCTTCGGAAGTGCCCTAGAACTGCACATTGGGTGGGTGGTGTGAAACATTAAAGGAGGGGGGGAAAGGAAGGGAAAGCCCATGTTGTGGCTATGAAGTCTGTAGCTGAGCCTCCTGCCTTAAATCAGTGGTTCCCAACCCTGGCTAACCCAGATGTTCTTGGACTGTAAATCCCATAAGCCTTTGCCAACCAGCTGGCCAGGGTTTCTGGGAGTAACAGTCCAAGAATACCTGGGTTACTCAAGGCTGGGAACCGCCCCAGATGAAGAGAGCAAAAGGATCCTGGTCAGCTGGGAAGCATGTAGGCTTTTGTGTCATTTTTGTTTCCCACCTGTGGATTTTGCCACTTTGTAGTTTGTTGCTGCAATGCCTGTCCTACAGGAACATCTCAAGCAGGCCAGCTGAGGATGCTGCTTGTGTCCCAGAGGGGGAAGACAAGAAACCAGGCCTTCTTGGTGGTTGCTCCTTAGCTGTGGATTGAACTTCCTGCAATGCGATTTTTGAAAAGTAATTAAAAACCTTGTTATTTCAGCAGGCATTCCAAAACATACTTCCAGAGTCAACTGAGCTTAATTAGCCTAATTTGATCAAGATCGCCATTTAAAATACTTTAATGCTTTGATGCTTTTGATTGTATTGTTCTTCTGTATTTTATTATTTTTATTTTCTGTTTTGTTAAATTGTATTTTAATTATATTGCTTGTGTTTGTTGTAAACCACCCAGAGTGACCTCAGCCAGATGGGCGGTACAACAAATGAACAAACAAACAAACAAATAAATAAATAAATAAATAAATAAATAAACTTTGACATTCAGCAGAGTGAGCTTTCTACTCCATCAACTATTTTTTGTATGCCATATGGAAACTGTTTGGGGTTTTTTCTATCTAAAATATTTGCATCAAGAAACTGGAAAACTGAGGGATCATGGATTCTGTTTCTCTTTTGGAAAATTCAGGCTTCAGTGGCTTGAATGAGCTGGCTCACCAGTAACTGGAAGAGAGGAACTCCTGCTGCTTATCTATGTGAGAGTGCCCTTCAAGACCAGGCTGGCTCATTCTTTGGTACTCAGCTAATTGGGAAGATGAGTTTCAGCTCAGTGAGGGTAGGGGGCAGAATTTTTTCTTGCCTTTGTGAATCTTTGTGGAAACTCCAACTGATTGGAGGAGTCAAGAAGTAGAAGCTTTGGGTATAAAAATAGGTCAGAAGTCACTTTAGTTATCTCTTAGGAGACACAATGCTCATTTGCTGTCCTGCTGGAAGGAATGTTCTGAGTCTGTTCTGTATGTTCTGATACTATGCTGAAGCTACACTAGAGTGTAAGAACTAGAATAATTTAGCTACCTTTCTTATTTTCTTGTTTGTTTGCTCTTTATTGCTCCTGCCTCAACCTTTTAATTGACTATTTGTTCCAAAGTGTCATTTACTTTCTTTGTAACTACTAAAAGCGTTTTGAATTTCTCTCTCTCTCTCTCTTTGACATTTTCACCATCTTTAACAAAACAAAATTTCTTCATACAGTTGTTCGCTTTTTTTAATTAAGAGGGTTCGTGATACTTGAAACCAGGCCTTGCCTTGGAGCCTGTACGTTTTGTGGGTGTGGTGATATTTATACCTTGCGGGGTTAGTATAAAAGTCAAATTGCTTAACCTTGTGAATGCTTGGGAACTCCCCAGTAGCCCTGCTTAGTCGGGTCAGACTAAGGTACTGAGGTGGCAGGTAGATTCCTGTAGTCATCAGCTCATTTGGTCCTTCTGGATTCACCCACACCAGGGCAGTATGGTTGAATGGTTAGTGCTGGCCTCCCTGAACCTGAGAATCCTTGAGACTTTTTCCCTACACCCCACCCATATCAGTCCTGGACTGATGTCCCTATTTTTAGGCTGCATCTTACCTTGGGCTTAGGCAAAGACATTTCTCCTTCTTACATGGGCTAATCTGCTTATCTATACTTGCTACCCACAGATGACCATTGAATGACCCTTAACACCTACCATTAAGATCTGTACTTGTCATCTGCCAAGGATTGTTAAAGGGAGATGATACCTTTATGAGAATACTAAAATAATCACAGACACACTGTAAGCTAGCTTTTGACCGCATGGGTCTCCGCCAGGCTGGGCACCACAGAGTTGTGGGACCATGCAGAAGAAACACAAAAGTGTCAAAAACCACGGCCAAGCTTCTCTGCTTTTTAGTGGACCAGTAAAGGTATTGTATATAAGGATCACCTTTTACGTTTCAATCAGCTTTCATAAACTCCTCCGGTATAAATGTCTGTTAATGGAAACACTCTGTGCACTGGACAAAGCAGACCACAGGCCATGAAAATGTATGCCGAACAGAACATGCTCATCTTTCAGTGCTGTAAGAATCTGTTTCAGTTTTGCTATGCTCAGAGGACTGGTTTCCATTCTGCTGCAGTTTCTATTCCATGTAGAGAGTTACAAAGTCTGGCTAGGCTCTGAGGGAGAGAGACCCTGATAGTGGACACGCTTCTACTGCAAAACACAAGTGGAAGTGGACAGAAGGCATGTGGCCTGCATTGCCACCATATGGAAGCAAGTGTAAGTGTGGCATAGCTGCCTGTTACTGCACTGAGAGATGCTGGGTCTGGAGAAAGGCAACTTTCTCAGCTTCAAAATCCTACTCAGCGAGCACGGACTCATGTCCCATAAACCAGACCTCCCATCTTTTCCTGAAAACAAACCTTGCATGCATGGTCTCTGTTGTATTTTGCACCTTTGTGTGAATATAACCCTGCAAGTGTCTAGATGACAATTAGAAGGGAAAATGGAAGGAACACAAGTAAGGCTTGCAATGGATTCCCACTTTGGTGTAGTGGATAGAGTGACAGACCAGGAGTCTGGAGAACAGGGTTCGAATCCCTGCTCAGCCATGGAAGCCAACTGGGGGAGTGGAACTGGTCAAACCATTCCTTAAATATCTCACTTACCTTGAAAGCGCTATTAGGGTCACCATCAATCGGTTCTTGATGGCACAGAACACACACAAGGATTGCTAAATGGGAATGTGTAATTGTGCAATGAGCCTTCTAGGCTGAATAGAAAGGAGAGGACCATGACGGAAGCTTTAGGAGACCAAGGCTGCCACCCTATTGCCACTTCCATGGAAGTAAGTCCCATGGGATTACCTACTTCTGAATAGACATGTATGGAATTGACTGCATTGTAAACAATGGCTTGGGACAGTCCCAGTGCTATTCTGTATGGTGATCTTGTAAAAAAAAGGTAACCAGAATTCTAATCTCTCCTGCCCCCCCCCCCGGAAGAGAGTAGAATCCCAAAAGACAGATGAGGATTGAAGATATTTTAAATGAATTATAAAAGTTATTCACGATGTCAGAGGAGCTCATCTACCCTGTAATACTGTTTCTCCTCCTCCTCCTCTTCATTCTTCTTTCTCTGTCCTGCCAAAGCATGATCTAAAACTTAGCATGCATTTCAAAAACACACAAATTCATACATGCGTGCGCGCGCACGCACACACACACACACACACACACAC